ACCCCCCCCCCCCCCCCGTATTCAACAATGTAAGGCTAGCTTAGACATTGATCTAGATCTATGTAGGCCAACTGAATTGGAAGCTGATCTCTGAAAAAAAATTTAAATGTTTCTGTATGGTAGACCCTACATTGCAATGGAATTTGGTACTTACATTGCTATAACAAACACTTGGGATTCAACGAGATTTAAGGTCATGCCCGACGACTTCGTTATATCTGAGTTTCACTGTTCTACAACATCCTCGCCACAATATACAACAACAACAGCATCACCGTCATCAACATAAATATCAACAACTACATCACCATCATCAATAACAACAACAACAACATCACCCCCATCAACATAAACATCAACAACAACAACATCATCACCATCAACAACAACAACAACAACATCACCCCCATCAACATAAACATCAACAACAACAATAACAACATCATCACCATCAACAACAACAATAACAACAACAACAACAACAACAACAAAATCACTGCCGTCAACATAAAGGGCAACAACAACGACATCACCACCATCAACATTAGAATCTACACAACAGCAACAACAACAACAACAACAACAACTACAGCAGCACCTACCCTCCTCCTGTGGGATAAATTTGACCACACTCCGTCCCTTCGTCTCGTCATCCACGGTGACCGGCAGGAAGGAACTGGGGCTCTTCACCTCTGCCCTCAGGTGGCCTGATCAGCGACAACAGAGGAAGGGGAGGGTGGGGGGCGGGGGGCGTGGTCAAGAGTGAGTAAAGAAAACACCTCAACACAACAACGGTCATTTTAATACACAAGGAAATGTGTCACGACGGGGTGGAATCAGGCGCTCACCAATTTTTGGGCATGTGGAGTTACTATTAATAGTATCATCTTCAAGTCTGCTTATATTTGTCTATATTTCGATTAAAAAATACTTCAAATCTATCTTGAAATAGAACTGGGGATATTTGCGACTGCAGGAAGCGAGGTTGTCTAGCTCCAGAAGTGAAAATTAGGGAGAAAATGGTTGACAAAGCTTGGTGACATCCAGCCGACAAAGCTTGGTGACATTCAGCCGACAAAGCTCGGTGACATCCATAGCTTGAGAGTCCTTGGAAACTGTAAATTTATATGTATTGTGCCTTTCATAGTTTTGACGAGCGCCTTCTATTTCCCCATACTGTCTCACAAATATGCCATGAGGTCAGGTAGAAACAAAAGAAGGAAAGGAAAGACGTTGGATTGACCAGCGGCACCATCCAACCACTAATACTGACTTGTTACTCAGTCAGTTATGCTTTAACTCTTACATAATTTTAGAAACGATTTAGTCATGACAAAACAGTGACATCAATATAAGAATGTTACAGTATGCCAGTTATAGGAACTGGTTGCGTCGGTGGCCAGGTGGTTAGGCTCTTAGACTCGCAACCGTAAGTTAGGGGGTCGAATCCCGTCAAGGACCCGACGAAGTGTCCTTGGGAAAGGCACTTTACACGAAATTTCCTCACTTCACCCAGGTGAGAATGAGTACCCAGCTATAGACAGAGAAAGATCTTGTCAATTTGTTAGTGTTTGAGTGCTTAATCAGCTGCTTACATTGTATGCTTTCCGGGAAGCTGAGAATGTTTCTGAGTGTACTACGGTCTGCTGGGGTAATAATATAGTGTAAAGGGCATAGAGCCTGCTGTTGAGCGGGGTAATGCGCTACACAAATGCTATTTATTATTATTATATTATTATTAGGCCCATTAATGTAGAGTGAACAACATAATGGTCTTTTAGTACAAGGAAAGAGTACAGTAAAGTATAAAAGGACCTACGAGCAGCACATTCCAGCCATCCACCGCTGTATGTTTACCAGTAGCAAGAACTGATGATTGTTTGTGTGTGATTAAATAGCCCATTGACACAAAAATAATCCTTTGGTGCAGGAAAAATAAAGAACAATCTCTCTCTGTCTCTCTCTCTCTCTCTCTGTCTCTCTCTCTCTGTGTCTCTCTCTCTCTCTCTCTCTCTCTCCCCT